CCACATGGGATCCAACCCCTCGGCGGGAGCGCCGCCGCACTCCCAAGCGGCGCACTCTCCAGTGTGCCACCGGGCTGGCCCAGATAAGGATATTCTGTAAGAATTCAAAATTACATGTTTGTCATGTCAGGAAAGAAAGTGTAATTGGAAGAGAGAGAAAATCAAAGAATCCTCATAGAGCCATCCTCCTGTCTAGTTAAGTCCACACCATTTTAGAAATAGACAAACCTGCATTTAAATCCACTAGGTGAGACTGTAACCTCCATAGGGATAGGGGACTCTGCCTGTGTGTTCATTGTTGTATTCCAAGTGCCTTGAGCAGTATCTGGCATACGGGAGGCATGCAAAAGATATGTCTTGATGGAATAAATGCAGTTTTGGCTCCACTATCTTATTACCCTGTGTCCTTGAGCAAGTTACCAAATCTCATTTCTCTAAATCTCAGTTAACATAGAGATAATAATAGTCAATAACTCACAGCATCATTTGAAAATTAAATGAAATTAAACTTTCTTTGTCAAAATGGCCCAAGGATACTTGCGGCTTACACGTTTTTCTGTTTTGAACATTGGGCTTTGGGATGAGATTTTATTGAATGGAAAAAAAAAAAATGGAAAACCAGGAACACTTGGCACCATCCCAGTGTGGGACCCAGTGGCTGTTGTTTCTGTTGTGGCTGGTGTTGCCATTAGGGTGGGAGGCAAAACAATGAAGAGTGGTGAGGACATGGGACTTTTGAAATTAATTATGGGTTGAAATGCATAGTGTCTTGTTTCTTTGTGTAAAGAATAGCAAACAATGTCCAAATGTAGTGTGAATACAGCATTGAGAGGAAATGACAATTAAAAATTTTTCCCAAATGCTTAGTGAATATGAAGAGAAAGAAAACAAGCTGAAGAAAGATATACTAATTGGGAAAATTTTACAGAATTATTGATGTAATTCTACTGAGATAAAAACACATCTTTTCTTGGTTTTTGTAATGATGTAAAAGTTAACCTGGAAAAAAAATGACTTAGACTATTTAATGATCGGTCATATGGCTACCTTTCTGGGCTGCAGTCTCCCCCATTTGGCTTTAAAAATTGCTAATAGCTCCTGCCTTTCTCTCATCTCAGTGAGGGTTGATCATGTACCATGCGGCATGCTGAGCACACATCATCATTACCATCTAGACTAATTTTCTTTCTGATTTGACCAAGCAGTATTGAGGAGCTCATTTCCCTGGGCTCCAATTTATTTCATCTGCTAAGCCGTTACACTCAGGCTCAGATTTTTTCTGGTGCCCTTTTGGATAGGAACAAGAGATACAGGCACGATAAAGAGAAGGCAGAAGTTTTGAAGTTTGTAGAGAGTGGGTGCCTGAGGAACTAAAGCTCCAAAGTTCTAGCATGATCTATACAGCCAATTTCTTTAGTCATTTTGTTTTGAAAGAATAATATTTAGGAGAATGACCCTAATAAGTGATTGCAATAAGTCTACACTTGCAAAATGATACAGATCAGCATATTTGGGGTGAACTTTGTAGATTTTGTTATAAATTTGACAGGTATAACTTATAAAACATAACAAAATACTAAAGTACGACTTCATTGATGCCTTCGTCTTGTTCCAAACAGCTGTACAGAATGTCATTAGTTCCTAATTTTTAATTAAAATGGAAAAAGTTGTCAAATATTTGAGTGTTTCTTTTTCTCCCAAGAGTATGGAAATTCCACTGGAAATAAAGACACATGAATTGAGTCTAATTCCCTGCTAGTGGGCAAAGAATTCACTTCACTTTAGTATGAGAGGAATGTACATAGGAAAGTGGGATACAGATAATTGAGACTATTAAAATAAACATAAGGTAGGTATACATGCAGACTTTTGGAGTGGAAGGGTTGGTTACGCTGGAGAGACGAGTAGCTATAGCCTTTCATGAGTGAGGGTTCCCCACATGCACTGTGTTCTTTATCAGGCAAAGATAGTCCCTACCAAACCATGCCTTGGCATTGAGGGATTCAGGAGAGTAAATATCCCAGCCTCTTTCCTTCCACCCTGCCATCTCCTGCCTCCTATTGACTAATTGCAGCAAGAAGCCCTAGCACAGGAGCCAGACTGATGTTCATACTCATCAGCTCTCCTGGGGCAGAGAGCAGCGTGAAGATAGAAGATAGATCTGGGTTTGTCTTCTTAAAAGACCTTAAATGCATTTTTACCTGCCTTCTATTTATTTAAGCATGTCTAGTCTAACAGCTAAGTTCAAATATTTGTCTCTCTGAAAATCTATAAGTATAAACATAATTATTTAAAGTCTATTAAAAGAGTATTTCTGACTTAATACCTGTTCTTTCATGACTAGAAAGTACCATTTATCAGTACATTATTTTGTAAACTGCTTTTCATTCTAGGTTTAAATTAACTGAAATCTCTGATGCCATGAGATTAAGGATTCCTCGCAATAGGAACATTAGTTTTCGGAATAACCAAATTACTTATGGAACTAGAGATAACACTTTTAATCCTGACATTCCTCAAGTTTGTTTCTGTTTACTTACCCAGATAAAAATATATTGGCTTGTGAAATGGTTTTATGATTCTGAAGAAAACATTTGTATTAGCTCATCAAGAAATTGGAGTTTTGGTGTTTTATAGATGCATGGAATATTAGAATTGAATACGTAGCTTGGTGAAGCTCTGTGGTACAAAGGAGTGAGGCATTTTTAGATTGTGGTGTTTGTTCGAGTCCTTCAGTGGTTCAGCAATATTGAGTCTTAGTGTGTGCAGGCTTTGCTCTGAGCAGTGAGCTGTGATTATGACCAATACAGACAAGCCGCTGCCCCAGGTGTGTGATTCCACCTTGAAGCAATATTGAGTCTTAGTGTGTGCAGGCTTTGCTCTGAGCAGTGAGCTGTGATTATGACCAAGACAGACAAGCCGCTGCCCCAGGTGTGTGATTCCACCTTGAAGTCCTCCCCTTCCTCTATTTGCTGTGCTAGAAATGTAGTTATTCTCTTCTCAGGTGCACGTCCTCGCTAGCACACAAGGCACAGTGACGCACGACTGTGAGAGTAGGCAAACCAGATCTCTCGGGTGTCTAGTGAGGAAGAATGGTGGAGCACAATTCAGTCTTAATCACCCTCTTCTTTGGAGTGGATCTGCCTTTATTTTCCCACACTAAACTCAGAGTGAATTTTACAACATAAAAATTCCCATTTCTTTAGTTCTGGAAAATTCTCAGCCATTTCCCCATTGACTGTTGCCTTTTCCTTAAGCTCCTCTTGTGGAACCCCAGTTAGAACTTTTCATGCTATTTTCAGTTGTCTCTTAACTTTGCTTTCATAATTATTCTTTCTTTCTTCTTAACTCCTTCTGTCACTATCAGTCTTCAGCTTAATTCTATCACTTTTTTTTTAATATTTGTATGTTTCAGGTCTAGGAGTTCTGCTTGTTATTTTTCACATCTGGCTGATCTTTTTTCTTTATCCACTATTGCATAATAGATTCAGTGCCTTCTTTAATAAATCTGGACATTTTAAACATAATTATTTTAAGATCCATTTCAGTTCAGTGCAGTATAGCTCATCTCCCACTGATCGGGTCTGCTGACTTTCTCTCTTGTTAGCGGGGTTCTTCGTGTGCTTTATAACTTTTGTCTCTCTGCTCATCTTTTGTAGATGCCACCTTTATGTTCTGGCCACTTTATAACTCTTTTCTGCACAATTACATTTCCAAAGTTTGTTCCTTCAGCCTAGACACTTTTCTTCTCCATCCCTGTATTGTGGTTGTGTCTATAAAATACAAATTAGCCTAGAAATATTCTGTTCTCTCTGTTTTAGTACATTTACTATTTAAATCCAGAGCACAAGTGAGTGGGAAAATGCAGTCTTTGTCTTTCTATTTCTTTCTTGACTTTTCCACCTTTTAAAAAAATGATCTAGCTTTATATAAACATTTTTTAGCAAAATTTTACAGAAGGTAATCGAATACTTATAGAATGACACTGCTTTGGTTCTTTATGTTTAAGCTATATATTTATTCAATTCTTTAAATAAAGCTATTTAAGAAGTTTATATAATCAATTTTAACTAACTAGTACCATGTTCAGATTTAGCACAGATTTTCTCTGTGTCTAAATATTTCTAATACCTCTCAGCAACTAAGATCTAAAAATAAGTCTCTCATTCTGATACGTGGGGACTTTTGAAAGTACTTCAAAACATCCTGCTATCAAGAACATTCAAGGACTTTCTATAAATGAATTTATAAAAGAAATTCTATATGCCAATTACAAATTTTTGTTTCTTCTTTAAATTAGTCTCCTAAGGAACATTTTCTTTGGCAACTTATATTGAAATAACTGATGTATCAGAAAAAGAAGGTTAGCCAGTTAGCTCAGTTGGTTAGAGCAAAGCCTTGTAACTTCAAAGTCAAGGGTTTGGATCCCCATACCAGCCAGCTGCCAAAAAAAAAAAAAGACTGACTGATAACTTGGAACCTAACAAGAGATGAAAGTTTAGAAAGGATAATCCTACTTGGTTGCATAACTCCTTTATGACTCTAATGTCTCATCTGTTAAGTGAGGATTATTATAGCTCATATTGATGTGATTTTTTTTCCCCAGTCTGCTATATCCAGGCCACAAATTTTCAGGATGTCTATAACGTCTTATTATAATTATTGATTATGTGTCATTCTTAGTCAATAATTAGACAATGCTCTCAAGGGCAGGGAAAGTATCTTATTATTTTGGAGTCATCTAAATCTAATAATACCTACAGTGTTTAATATTGGTCAATTTAGAACATATACAAGCCTTTAGTATCCATTAATAGTTTGCTTGACCATGGCTTTATAAAAGAAATCATGGATTCACTTCAGTCCTTATCGTTTGGGTTCTCATCCTCCTTTTGAGATTTTTATAAAAACTAATAATTCTTTTCCAGTAGAAATACACCTAAATACATACATAAAAACAGCATTTTGCATGGATTTAAGGGGGCCTATAAGTCCATATACATATATATGGAAAATACTGATCTAGTGCTACATTAGTTTGATAATGTGGGATCATTATTGAAAAACCTGAGATTTATATTGTGCTACTGTTTCTTTAAGAGAGAATTTTATAGTTGCGCATAAAAACAAAACCATTAGTTTGATAATGTGGGATCATTATTGAAAAACCTGAGATTTATATTGTGCTACTGTTTTTTTAAGAGAGAATTTTATAGTTGCGCATAAAAACAAAACAAACAAACAAAAAAAAAAAACGGTAACTTCTGGTCACCCTCTGTAGCCCATAAACATATTTTGTTTAATCGATTTTAAAAATCAAGTGAACCCTAAAATTGAGGCATTTCACATTAAAATCAGGGCTCTGCTTTCTTTAAAAAAACAAAACCAAAAAGATCTTTAAACACCAGGTCCACTTTCCCCCAGTCAGCCAGAGGTAAGTAGGAGCTCCCTTAATAAGAAGGACCTTTGCTGCCCCACTGGCCACTATCTTCCAAGTCTTTATTATCTCCAAGACACTGAGAAAGCACTGAGGATCAATTGCATGCTTCGTTGTGCTCAGACTACTATTTACATATATAAATTATAAAAACGATTTTCTATTTCTATGTTTTGTTATCAATAGTGGGAAAAATGAAAGCCAGAACAAGGTCACATATTGCAAAGAGAGAACCTATTTCTTTACACCAGTAAAAAATATGCCTTTACTTTGAATATGTACCCAGGGTGTTTTGCATATTTATGTTAACTGTCCCCCCCTTGCTTTAGATGATCAAATGGAAATACCTGGCTTTATTCCTATGAAAGGAATAGTTGTACTTTTCATGAGCCATTTGTTTGCATGTTTTGTTGGTGGTGGTTTTGTTTTAGTTTTTACTTCACAGACAATCTCGACTTTCTAGCAAAGCATAGCAAAACTTTATAGCATAAATTGGAGGTGGTTAGGAAACATGCCTTTTATCTTTTCCTACTCTTATCTTTTAGTTCACTTTCTATCAAATATTATCACTAAATTATTTTTATATATTTTGTACTATATATGCATATGTATTTGTAATAAGTCTAAGATCATTTTACATGGTTCAGAAAAATGAAATATAAGTAAAATATTTTATCATATTTGTACTTAAAATTGACACTTTTAACTGCTTTCTTTTTCTCTGCTGCAGCTCTGTGTGCACAGGTAGTCGTGTTGACATTTGGCCATCACCGTAGGACAATCTAGTGGCCAGCTGGCTTTTTAATGGTCTTTTCTCTGACAGTTCCCTTTCTTCACAGAGGAAACTTCAGCTCTCCAATGGACTTCATGCATGGCTGCCAGCATTCTGGAGTGGAGCTTGGCCTTGGTTGGTTAGGGCTTGAGAAAAGGGAGCAGCCTATTCTGCCATATGCAAATTTCCCCTTCATTCTCCCATTTATAGATGTATAGTCTGGTCAGAAACAGCACTTGAATTTATCTGGTTCATATGTTTACTTATTTATTATCTCTCTCCTCCTGGAGTCCCTTTTCTATATTTTTACTGCTGTGACACAGAGCCTAATGCAGCACCCAGCACATAGTAGGTCCTCAGTAAGTATTTGTTGAATAAACAAAAAAATAAATTACAGTACCCACTGTAATAAAAAGCACTTAATGAGAAGGGCAGTACAGTTATTTTGTCAAGCTTTGCATGTTTTATGCCTCCTATCCACCAGGTACGGTACTGGAATAATGGAGGAGAGGAGGAATCATCAGGCAAAGTGAAAGTGGAAGGAAACCAGACATCAGCCAGACTCCAGGGCCTGAAGAGCAACCTGGCATACTACACAGCTGTCCGGGCTTACAACAGCGCTGGTGCTGGTCCCTTTAGCGCCACAGTGAATGCAACCACCAAGAAAACCCGTACGTATATTCCAATTGTTTGAATGGCAAAGAAAATAGTTTGCATTAAAAGTGATAGCCTTCTTTATCATTTTAAATAGAAGACCTGAGTCATTAATCTCACTGAATGATATAAATCCAACTTCAAACCCTTGGAAACTCAGAGCCACACATATCCTTGTCTTCGTGAGATCCCTAAATCTTCAGGTAGAGACTCTGGGTGAACATGAATATGAACCTTTTGAAAAATCTTAGTGTGGGGTGTTCAGTTAAATCTATCCACTTTTCTTTTACAATGTGATCAGCTTAGTTGGGTTTACTTTCATGTATTTTTAGTTCCCCAAAGCTTGAGGATTTCCGGTAAGCATGAATAAGTTAAAGTGAATGGCCAGAGAATCAGGAGTGATTTTTCTTCTTCTTTACTTTTCTTTTCCCTACATTATTCAAAAGATGGCAATGTACATTAAAAGGTTATCATCAGAAGACCATGGTACACATGAACATTGATGCTTTAAGAAAATCTAACCAGAGATGTCAGTGTTGCCTTCAAAGCTGGGTTTTTTGTTAGCTGTGTATTCACAGGTAAATTTACAAGCACCAATTATGAATTATAATTAAATTAGTCTACAAGAAAGCCAGTGATTTACAATTTTGGAGTGTCCAAAAATATTTCAGTTAAACTGATAGCACAAGTATATACTTAATCATTGTATCATTTTGCTCCTTTCTCACAATGCAACCATTTGAGTGGCTGTTGTCATTGTCATCACAGCTAGTAGTGATTGAAAACTTCCTATGTCCCAAGTATTTTATGCTCATTCCCATATTTAATCCTCATAACTACCTCCAAGTGGTAGGTACCATTATTATTTCTATTTTAAAGGTGAGGAAAGCGGGACATAAAGGGATTAGGTAACTTTAGCACAATGATACTTTTACCTGCAGAAAATTGTTTTCTTAATTTATTTTCAAAATGTATTAATTCAGTAAAAATGTTTGCTTAACAGGCTTTATGTAGGAATGAGACAATCATTATGCTTGATTACCAGTTTCACTGATGCATTTCTGTTCCCATATATCATTTTCCAGTTTGTTTGAAAACATACATCTGTTGGCTAAAATTGCTAAGAACTCTTATAATATAAAATTGAATATGATTGGCTAGCATTTTTGTGGATAACCTAAAAAGAGAGTCATTATAAATCAATAGAAATATCATCATAACATACAATGAATGAAATAAAACTTTAAAAAGAAGCACAACCCCTTTATAATTTAAAGATAGCATGTAAATACCCAATCTAAAGTCGAAATTTGCACATGACAGTGATGATTATAATTATGTTATTAATGGCTAACACTTACTGAGAAATTTCCAGTCGTGGTTCTAAGCACTTTTCATATGTTGATTCTTAATTCTCACAGCAACATTATGAGTTGGAAGCTATAGAGATCCTCACTTTAGAGATGAGGAAGCTGAGGCAGGTGGAGGTTATATAACTTTACTGAGTTCAAGTAAATATCAGGTAAGTGTCCTCATCCAGACATAGTGTTAAACACTGTGTTATTCCCTCCTTCAATCATGTAATTAGAATATTCATTACTCATTTAACACCAGTATTGACTGTGATTTTGCTCCGTGCCTAGGAACTGGGTAAGGTGATCAAAGATAGCCAGGACTCCTCTGCTCAATAACTGAATATAATCTCTCAAAAATAATGCACTCATCACTGCAATTCAGCTGGAATCTGCATTTGATCTGTACGTGTTATTAGAGAAAAGTTTTCTGCATTGGGTGGGAAATTTATACAGATAATTAAAACCCCTAATCATCCTAAAATAGTATTTAAAGAACATGTTAATTTTAAAATTTTATGTTAATTTTTCTAACGAAATAATGCACTCATCACTGCAATTCAGCTGGAATCTGCATTTGATCTGTACGTGTTATTAGGGAAAAGTTTTCTGCATTGGGTGGGAAATTTATACAGATAATTAAAACCCCTAATCATCCTAAAATTGTATTTAAAGAACATGTTAATTTTAAAATTTTATGTTAATTTTTCTAACATCTGCCAAAATACAAATAAAACAGATTCTTTTTAAAGCTATTTATAATATTGTTATTGGTAATTCTTAACAGTCATCCAACCTCTGACATGGTTTAGCTTAAATCCTGTTTAAGAATTTTGGTAAGGTTCTTGTGATTATCACTATGAAGAGAATTAGCCATATGCCTCAGGCATAAAGAACTAAAATAACATTTTTGATTACTTGCTTGCTATCTGTCTTCCCCTCTGGCTTGTAAGATTTATGGGGAAAGAGTTCTTTTTTGTCTTATTCACCCAGCCCCAGTACCCAGCACAAACCCAGCACATGGGAGCCACTCCTTAAATGTTGAATAGATGGCTGAATTTATGATTGAAACCTAAAGAAGCAGGCCAGCCTGAAGTACTATTATTAATCAAAAGTACTTCCTCTTGACTTCTCATTGTGAATTCAAAACACATACTTTACCGTCTTTCTTAAAATATGCAGGTTTCATACAGTCATAATCATGGAACTCTGTATGCAAGGCTTCATGTCAATATAGATCTTGGGTGATATTTCTGATTAATGTAAAATAACATAAGGATTCTCGAATTAAGTACTCTAGCTTCCATTAAACACTTAATTTTTGATATCCAAATACTTGTGTGTTTTAAAAGCATTTTTAAGTTAAACACTAATTAGCCTCTTTAAATAATCTAAGATGGGTTTCTGTCACTTGCAACCTGAAGAGAGATAAGTCTTAATAGTGTCTTCCATCTAAAGGGACTGATGAGGGAAATTTGCAGATGACTTAAAAATGATGAAATTGGTTGGTTTCTAAAAGAAACATATTGAGAGTTTTATGTTCAGAGTTTGCAAGGAAGAATCTGCAGAACAAATATTCTGCTTTGTATGACTGAAAAGTCAAGTGGTAATTCTGGCTTTCAGTATGGATGGACCCAGGCAGCCAACATCCTCAAGAATCCTCTAATATTGCAAACTGAGTATTTCTAAAACTGAGTTCTTGACTGCTCCTTCCACGCTATTTAAAACCCATCTTTTCTGCAATATTCCCTATGTCAGTAAACTCAACTCTGTTACTGCAGTTCCTAATGCCGAAAATCTTGGTGTCACCCTTGACTCTTCTTGTTCTTTCGTACTGTACAACAGATCCAGAATCTGATTTCTAAATTTATCAAGAATCTGCCACTTCTTTCTGCATTCACTGCCACCACCCTGGGGCCAGCTGCCTCCATCTCTCCCGTGGATTAGAGAAATGGCCCCTCACATTCAGCCCGTTTCCGCCCTTGCCTCCTGTAAGCCAGAGTGACACTGGTGATATCACTACCCTGCTCAGAACCTCCAGTCACTTTCCATCCCACTCCAGATAAGTGATCTTTGAAATATTCCGCAAGGCCTTATACAATCCATCCCCCAACTCCTGCTCTGACTCATTTCCTGCTATTTTCCACCTTGCTCATTCCACTTTGATATCAGGATTTCTACATTTGCTGTTTTCTCTGCCTAGAAAACTCTTCCTCCAGATATCCATGTAACGTACTCTCCTGTCTCTTGCAGATCTTCACTCAAATATAACCTCAGTGTCACCTGGCCATCATATTGAAAAGAGCATCCTCTCCTCTGCTGACACTCCCTATCTCCTTCCCAACTTTATTCTTGTGCATAACACCGAGACCCCCTGACACATACTAGGTCTTAAATGCATTTACCTTATTGTTGTCTCCCCAGCCAGCCTTGACTGGAGTGTCAGCTCCTTTGGGGCAGAGATTTTGCCTGGTTTGATCATTGCTCCATCCTCAGAGCTCTATTTCCAATGCCTAAGTAATCATAGTTGGTGCCCAATAAATAGCAGTTGAACAAACAGTGACTCTTCCCATCTCTTGTCTTTGCTGCATATAGCATTGCTCTAACCAGGTTCCCAGGGTGGCACTATTGCCATAGCCTCTTCAAGGACTGTTTTCTATCAGCCAAACACTCTGGGAAAGTGGGAAACTTCTTTCTGATTATTCCGCTCAGAGACAAGTAGGCTTCTTATTAGCTCATCTTGGTTAATGTCCATCCCTGAACCAATTGTTGTGGACAGTTGTTAGAGAAACTTTTTTGGCCTGGCCTGGATCACATGCCCGGACTCCCCCTAAACAAGGAGATCCTATCTTTTTATACTTTCATTAGTTATTGTACATGTGTAGTCATTTGGGAAAATAGAATATTATTGAACGGTACAATCAGTTTTGCATTTGAGTGTTTGCTTTTCCAAATAAAATGCTCATCTGTGTAAGATGAGCCAAAATCAGTTGCCTGAACTTAAGAAAACCAAACAATGTGTCTGCAGGGAATGAAAAGGAAATATGACTAAGATGAGCACAAAAAGAATATGAGTCTGAATATTTCAGAGGTTTTTGACAAGGTGACTATTTCTGCCTCAAACACATAATTTGGAAGTTCATATACACAACTTATGTATTATACACAACTAAAGTTTCATATACAGAACTTAATTATATAAATGACCACTCTGCATTTGGGCTCAGGATACAGATTAATGTAAGGTTTCCTAAATTTTATATGTGATCCACCTTCTCAATTTTTGCCATTTTCATCAGCCTCCCCTACTAATATGTACCTAATATTTTTTTCTTAAGGATTGAGTTACTATTTTTACTTGAGTAAATTTAAAAAGAAAATGAAACTAACTTTCTATCTGAGAGATGGAGAACAAGTATCATTGCCATAATAGATGTTAACAAAATAAATTTAACAATAATAATAAATACAGTGAAACGTAGGCCAGCCTCCTTTATAAATACCAGCAACATACTCTTTCCTATAGAACCCTTTGAATCTGCCCCCTCTTTGTTTGTGATGTTAGTATTGAGGGGATGTTAAACACCTAGTAGTAACCCCCAAATCCAGCTTTCTTTTTAAAGTAATGAGAAGACTAAATGGGAATTTCTCTCTAGGTGACTGAA